CAGGAATGGGCTGACAGTCTCTTCAGTCCTGCTTATCTGTCAGTCAGAAGGCATGGGGGCCTCTCGTTTCCGGCAGCTACCAACCATCTTGCTGCTGCTAGTGCTAGCACAGCAGTCTGGTCTTGCGTGTCAGGAACGTGCCTGTGGAACTGGCACCTACACCGCTGCTTTCACAACAGCCAAGTGTATCTCAGGTGCTTCTCTTAAGTATCGGATCCTATGGTAAGGGAGAAGCGTGCTCTGTCACCTGGAGAATGTGTCACTTGGCACAGACTTGAGCAACATCTGTACTAAATAAATAAAATATACTGAGCCAAGGTCTTTTCACCTGCCTGAGGCCAACTAGCACAGCTCAGTTTGCATTAGTATGGCTTAGCTTATATTGCCCCCAAAAGACAGTATTGGTATCTAGTCTGCCTACCTGAAATGGTCCCTAGCCTGCACTGAACCCTGAGTAGTGGCAGATATTGTCTCGGAGAGTGCTAGCTGGCACAGGTCTCTTGATTTAGACTGACAGTGGACTGTTCGTTCACCTTTTTAATTTACTAATACAGTAATACATACATTACATAGCCTGTAAGTATTTGCTCCTTATACGTATTTGTAGAATGATACAGGACTCCACATCAGTGCTGTGGCTTTCACCTGCCTGTGACCCGTGAATACTCCTGGTTCGTGACAAGCCTCAGCCTTTCACTTTTCCCAGAAAGATGCTATCTTTGCTTGACGCACATTAAAGAAACATTTTAAAGTCTGATCTGACCAGGAAGGGAGTCAAGAGACAATTAGATGTTGTGAGCTGTCCTGTGAAGCTTGGAAATTTGACTCTGTGGATGGTGGGGAAACTAGGCAAGTTGCAACAGCGTGCAGCTCACAGTGGATAAAACTGTCTTTCTGATCTCTTGCACATCTCCCAAGATGCAAAAAATAGGAGAAGAAACACTTCACAGCCCCTTTGAGGGGATTAGGGGGCTTGTCCCCTGAAGGGCTGCTCTGTGAATGAGCATTCACTTATTGTTCTGCTTCATTCTAGTTATTCAATAAAAGGATCTGGATTATCTTTGTAATAGGTTCCAGGAAAACACTGAGCTGAATGCAGAGT